GGCGGGGGTGGGAGGGAGTGTTGCTTCTGCAGGCGGGCCGGTTAGTAAGGCATGCAAAATTCTGTTGTTACCTGTAATACCCTAGGGATATGAAAGGGAATTGTTGCTCTAACCTGTGGCACAGTCACCTTGGTGTCTAGAACACCGAGAGAACCCTGGTCACCCTCTGACGAAAGGTCCGATCTGTAGCAGCCTTCTTCAGCGCTCGGTATCCACTTAACACCTTTCCCTGGACTCGAGGGGCCTTTGTGGTCCTGGGGCTGTGGACACATGGGGTTTATTTCTCTCTGGTTTAAGTCCCACTGGGTCAGTTCTGCCCAGAGGCAGCCTCAGGTTGGGGCTTTTGTAAACCAAATAGTGCCATCTACAATGTGTATAAAATGGGATCACTTCTTCATTGTACAAAATTCTCAGACTCCTTGCACAGCCCAGCCTAAAAACGTGGGTTCTGTGTTCTCAAGGTCACTGCAAATGCACTCTGCTAGGCAATAGTTACTCCTCCTTTACCAGCTTAAATGGCTCACTTGACATTAATTCTGCCAATATTCTAAAGACATTTTATTCACAAATCCTTTATTAATATTTACCATGAGTCAGTCATCTTACTTATTTCTTCATTCAACAGATATTTAATGAGTGCCTACTATGTGCTTAGCAGGGCTACTGTGATGGACAAATCAAAGCCCCTTTCCTGTGAAGCCTGCGTGCCAGTGGGGTGGGGTGAGGCAGGCAGACAGTTAAATAATTACAATTAACATGTGATGATAGTTATTCTGAGGAAAATACAGAGTGGTCATGAGTTAACTACCAGTCCACCAGTTGCTTAAATCTTGCATAAGGCAGAACTGCTCAACAGGAATCAGGACCTACTGATTCTTTTTCATTAAAATGTTTCAAAGTTTGGTGGTTTTAATCACCAGCTAGAAGAACCGTTCAAATGATGGACTAATGGATGAAGTCATTTCTTTTCCTAGCAAAACAAGTTCTCAGTTCACAAATATGCAGTATTCCCAAGTTCCTTTCAGTTTGTTGTTTTCGTTTTAAAAGGGGAAAAAGCATTTGTGCTAAATCGCAAACAGGTATTTAATACAGAAAGAATAGAATTGTAACCATGATGCCTGTTGTTCCTTTATAATATTTTTCTTTGAGAAATTCTTTTCCTGTTCTAGCCAAGAATTCTGGGAACATAACCACCTCTGAGCAGTCCCATCTCCTCACCACCCCTCTGTACAATACTTCCTGTATCAGCGTCGTCTTACCTGCCTAGCCAGGCGTCCGCCAACCTGGAATGAGTTTGTCTTGAGTGGAGTGTGCACTACAAGGGGCACTGTCCTTCGTTCAGAACCTGTCAAGTTTCCCTTGCTTTTCTTCATGGCTCACCCAGCTGGTTAGGGTTTGGTACCAAAGAGGTCTAAGCCCATGACCATGATTGTTATTGAACTGTGCCTGACACATGGTCAATATTTGCCGTAGAAAAACCAGGTCTTACTGTGTTGGGAATGAAGCGACTGACTGTTTGTCTTGTAGGTGTGGGCTGGGGAGGCGCAGGTAGCTGTGCCTGTGTCAACAGAGCAGCGCCCGCGTCCAGGAAAAGCGAATTCTTCACAGCTGTTACATGTGTGTGAGAACTCAACTGCCCCATTGAGATACGTGACACAAGTGGTTCTAAGGTCGCCCAGAGCTATCCTGGATATGAGAGTGCGTTCCCCAAAGACCTCTCGACCAAGTCCATTATTGGAGAGGTTTGGGCTAGGGGGCTGGCCTGCAGAGTGGGAGTCCTGGGGAGTCCCATTACATGGTTGTAACACATGCTGGTCATTCTTGTGGGGCTTGCTTCCTCCGATAGAGGAAAAAGTCAGAAGCCCTTTTCAGAGTTGGCTTAAATGGAAGGCAGCTTGGTATTTGCTTTTAAGACCGAAGTGCTTGTCTGCCATTGCCCAGGGAAGGTGCAGATCGCCTGCTGCGTGCTGTCGGTGGGCCTGACGCAGACAGGCGCCTCTGCCTCCGCAGGGGCCTTTTCTGCATCTGCGGTCTGGTAGTGGCCGACTCCAGCTGAGGAACACAAAACCAGAGCGACAGAGATGAAAACTTTACAGACCCTTTGGAGTTTTTTTCCTTCTGAGACTGTTACTGTTTTTTAAATGGTTTTAACTCCCTTTACTTCAGACACATCCAAGTTCCGGCAAAGAGGACAAAAACCACATCACGAAGCCAGCTCAGAAGGTCCTTAGGTTACCTGGTTTCTTGGATTATTGATACCATCCTGTTGCTCCTCAAAAGTTACCTCACTATCCAGTTACCTTTGGTTAGGAGGCTGTCCTTCACACTCCTGCAAACAGTTTTTGGTGTCTCTGTAGTGGTCACAGCTGTCAGATACATAAAGAATAGATGCAGATCTGGGCCTGATAAGATACAGATTCCCTAATGATAGATAGTGCTACGTGGCTTCGAAGTGTGCATACGCAAAAAGCTAAAGGGGAAAAACTGCCTTATGTAAAAATGATTGTCTTAGGAATAAGCAATAAGATTTACAATTTTACAGTTAGAAAAATTTTTACTCCCCAAATGTACATGCCCTCCATTGGGTAAGAGCTATTTGTGGTATTTAAATATGAATAATTCTGTTTACCTTATTACTGTTTCTGTTTTCCTATGGTAATTCAGAGTTGACTCCATCATTGCTACTTGTTTTTGTATATGAGTGTGCTTGTTTGCCAGGCTGTCTGGAGGAGGAAGGTTGGAATGTAAGTCTTTATTTCTTAATCCCTTTAGACATAAGTGAAAATGGACCCTACTTCTTGGTTCTAAGCCAGAGACGCTAGCTCCTTCATTTTCCTCAGGATCATGAATCATGTATTGTAGTATAATTTGCACAGGATTTAAAATATCCACTAACCAATAGGAACATGAAACCTGTAAGAAGCATTTGTTTTACCAGCAAAACTGTGATGCTGCTGTGACCTCCAGCTTGAGGTGCGGACTCCGATGTCCCGGAATGCATTATTTTTATGTCAGCTCTTAATAACTTCGACCTGATTTTTCAGATCCTAAAACTATGAATGCATTCACATCATCCACACGATAAATATCTTTTCATGGTGTTTTGGAAAGTGGAATGGCCTAAGAGGTATTTTGCAGAAGCAGAAACTGTGATAGTCAACACATGAAAAGATGTTTACCTTCAGTGGTCATCTGGGACAGGCATATTAAAATGACTATGAAATATAATTTCACACTTATTAGATTAGCATACATTGAATAGTCTAACAGTATAAGTGTGATGAAAATGAGATGTAGAAACTGCCCCATTTAGAGAACAATGTAGCACTGTCTGGCACAATTAAAACTCAGCATTGGACTCTTAGGTATATGTCCTACAGTATCTCAGATATGTGCATAAGGAAGTATGTATAGGATGTTTATTACAGTACTGTTTGTAATAACAGAAATTAGGGACCGGATAATTAAAATGTTATGTAAGCTTGATAGAACATAACAGCTAAAATGAATGAACCAGAGCTACACACAGCTACAAGGAATGAATCTCTAAAAGACGAGGTTAAATGAAAAAAAAAAAAAAGCCACCAGCGTGATAAAGACAATGTGACACATACTCTTATTACAGATTTTAAAAACCTATGAAACAGTACTAGAATGGGTGTGTGAATCAATGTAGAAGTGTAAACACACGGAGTAGAAGGATCCACACCCAATTCGTGAGATTGGTTGCCTCTTGGGAAGGCAGGGGAGGGGGTGGGCCTGGGCAGGGGTGCAAAGGAGATTTCCTCTGGATCTGTAATATATTTCTAAAATCTGAAGCGGTGTGATGATACGTGTTAATCGTGCTGGTGAGTGTGTAAATTCTATTTTATTAGAGTTTTTGTGTTTAAACAATGTGGTGAAGAAGATCTGTATACCTACGAGAGAATACTCCAGCTCACCATGTGAGGATGGCTGCCCGCTGTTACTGGTGGCCTTTTAACCAGTTATGGCTGGCAGTTGTGGTCATGTCACCCTCAGAGGGCGAGGCAGAGAGTGTCGTTCAGGGGGCTTTATTCAACGTTGTGTAAAACACTGTCGTAGCTGTCAGAACTAGCATCTCCTGCCTGCTTGCACTTGTCACTGGGCCCCACTCTCCGCAGAGTCATACGAGGACTACCTTTGCACGAGGTGTCACTGGGGTGGATGGGCTGGTGGTTCTAACCTCTCAGCCACGAGCAAGTGAGGAAGTTCACCCTGCAAGCACTAGTGAAGACCTTATTGTATTACGGTCACTGAGACCCACCCACGTGCCCCCAGGTGGGTCACCACCACCAGAGTCTCAGCCACGATGAAAAACCTAGAGCATTAATAAGAGCTTCTGTGTCATGACTCCAAAAACAGGTGACCGGCTGCCAGGGTTCTCTGCTACTTTGAGCAAGTTTGATGCCGCCGCTACTCTCAAATTTAGTTCTCTCTGCCCTCCAACAATGGCTGGGAGCTTGGATGAGAGTCTGGGGACCCTTTGCCTGGCGTTTCTCCCATCAGTTTGAGTGAGTGGGAGACCATAGCTACACTCGCCCCCAGTGTGACCTCACGAAGCTGTTGTCTGTAGACAGACACCGCCCCCTGGCGTAAATCAGAAGAAGCTGCACATCTCAGACTCTCAGCTTTCCTCCATGTGGTTATGGAGGTACCGGAGGCCTCTGGAAGGTGTAGGGAGCATCTTCGAGCCTGGAGCATCTCGAGCCTTACAAAGCAACTAGCCCGACCCCTCCACAGCTCCCAGCCCCCAGCAGCATGCCTGCCAGGGCCACCCACAGCTGCTTGACATGTGCCCTCACAGGGATGGGATTACCTTCCAAGGCAACACAAGAAAGTCATTAAAAGTATGAAGACGGGCAACGTGAATATGGCAGAAAGAACACTCGACTTGGATGCTGTGACAGTCTGCTGCCAGACGGCCGAGTGCACTTAAGGCAGATGATCCCTCGTCTTCCCTGTGCTCTCGGAAATGGCTGGGTCACGAAAGTTTCGTTGGCATTGTGTCAGTGCTGACCTCGAGGTTTTCGGAACACTAGCTCGGTTCATCCCCACAGTTAGAAGCCGCCTACGAAGGAAGAGCCATCACGTCCAAAGACACGCAGCTCAGAAACCTCCGGCCTCACTTCCTTGACCCAGCGCTCAAACGGAAGCTAGCATCTGCGGTCACGGGCATTGTGTCGTATGCAACGAACAATATTCGTGATTGTAGGAAATGGAGAAAATATAGAAAAGAACAAAAGAACAAAACTCACCAGAATTTCTGCCACCCAGAAGTAAAACATGTTCACATTTTGATGTTTGGTCTTCCAGACTTTTTTATTATATACACAAGTATGTACATTTATCTTTTTTTTTTTTTTTTTTTCCAAAATTGGTATTTTAACCTGATTTTGTCTCAGCAATATTGTGAGTGCCTTGCTGTGCTCGTAAATAACCAACCCCGTCTTTTTTCACGGCTGCAGCACAGTGTTCCAGTGTCTGGCTATACCGTGATGAATTCGCTTATTCACCTTTCTTTTGTTACCAATGAAGGTTGGTGGTTTCCTCTTTTTCACGGTTCTGAAACCGACACAGCCCACACTCTTGGGTCTTAGCTCTGGACTCCACATCTCCCAGTCGCACGTTTACTACGCTTCTCAAGCCCGAATTTCTCCTGATTCCATTTCTCATTCTCCCCAGACGTTCTTGGCTCCAACTTAACGGATGAAATAGAGGTTAGAGGTTACTAGGTGTAAAACTTTCTAAACTTCCTTTCCTTTTACTTCAGCATTAGTTTTTATCCTCACCCATCTTATTCCTCCGTGGTGTTCCAGAGGAAGACATATCTCTACCCTCTTTCCAGGAATATCGTCTCACCTTCATCTTGATTCAGTGATACTGAATCAGTTGTTTCTAATCTTCTGTGATTATGCATCCTCTGACGTCCCAAAGAGTGGCCTGCATGGTGGGTTTAGGTAGAAATGCGTTTATATGGAAATAGTATTACATAGCATTATGGTTATGCTATGTAATACTATTTAAATAGTATTAATACTATTAAAATATTAATATTAATACTAATAGTATTAATACTATTGAAATAGTATTACATAGCATTCTGGTTATGCTATGTAATACTATTACATAGTTACTCCCTTTTCAGTTCTTTAATCCTCCTGGACTTAGAGACACCAGTTATTCATGGCACAGCAACTAAAGTTTTTAAATTCAAAAAATAATATCAGCGTCTCACCCCCAAAATATTTATGGAATATACTTTATGCTGGGCACTGGGCATTCGGTCTTGACTTCATGATACAGTCTTGCTCAGGTAATGCTTTTGGCCGAGTCATTTAGATAACGATAATGACGACAATAAAATAGCTTTGATTCCCCCCACACACACACTTTTCCCCCCTCTGGCCCCAAAGTCAGGTGGCTCCCAAATCTCATCCTGCTTTTGCTATCAGTGTTATTTGTAACCTTGAACTCAATCACTCAGTAGCTTACTTTTCCTGCTTACAACATAAACATCGTGACTTCATAGCACATGATATTGTGATGAGATAATTATGGAAGGGTTTTTTGTTTGTTTCCTGAGTATTATAAAAGCTTATAATGCTGTTAGTGTAAAATTACTTTGAAAACCTTAAAGGTTTTGAAACTTTTAAAATTTCAATCCCCCAGTGCATTTTAGTCACTTTTCTAATTATAATTACATTGAAAGGGGGTAAAAAAAAAAAAACCCCAGCCATCTGTGGTACTTGTTTTCTTTCCCTGGAGGTAGCACTAGAGAAGATAATGATTTATTTGAGGTGTTGTTCGTCCCACTCGGAAGGAGAATGGATGGTGGTTTTCATCGTGCCTTGAAGGCCCATCTGCTGATGGGTGCGATTCATTAGACAGGAATATGTGGGTGAGTGTGCGCCTGGTAGTCGTGGAGTGATAGCAGAGAAGACTCGTACTCTGGGGGAAAGAAGCAGGATGTGAGCTCGATGACACTGTCACAGTCAGAGACGGCAAACGAGAACAGCCACTCCTGTAGGCGATGCATCGCCGTGAGGAGGTAAGAGCTAAACCATCTTTGACTTCGTCTGACCGTACGACCCGTGCGTGTGGCTCCGGGGTGGAGGACCCAACGTCAGGCTCCGTGCAAAGTTTCAGCGTCACCTTTTAGCCAGCCCTCGTTGTGCCCTTTCCAAAGCGTCGATCATACAGAATCGGAGCCGCCTGCGTCCTCTGTCTCCTTTGCCTTTAGCGAAACTGAGCCTGACCGCGTGTGTTGGAGACGGCGGAAACACTGACTCCGTTTTCTGGAGGCTGCAGAGCCCAGAAGAGCTGCATGTCTCTGACCCTCTGGTGACATCAAGCCGCGCCCCTGTGTGCTCAGCTGTGCGCACACGCACTCAGGATGGGCATGGGAACCTTGTGCGGTGGGAGGAGGGCAGAGAAGAGGAGAGGTGGAAGGCGCCTATTCAGCCTACAGATTGCTGGGAATATTGCTGATGAGTGCACACAATACGGACCAGTTCCATGGCGTTGCGCCCCGCGTTACGGAGCCTTACGGATCAGGTTCCCCGTCTTTGTTTTCCAGCTGCTTTCTACACGTTGTCGCTTCTGCCGAGAACAGCAGCCTCCACGATGAAGCACCCCTCAGATCAGAGGGCCCTTGGAAACATTTCCTCTTTTCCCTAGAACATGGCTTTTCCCAGAACAATCCAGATAAAAATACAGTGTGTTAACACATTTTCAGCGAGCACTCAGGACAGTGCCTGGCCCATAGTTAGCGTGAGAGAAGTGTTTGCTCTTATGAGTGTTACAGTCTCGTCAATTTTCATTCATTCATTCCCTGGTTGAGTGTGTGATGTCACGTATCGAGGCCCTGTGTTATTTGCTTTGAAACCCCAAAGGTGAATCAGAGGGAGATCCTGCCCTCAGTGAGAGTGTATTTCAGTAGGAAAAATAAGACAAGCACAAACATACATAAAATACAGTGAAGATAATGACACCGCCTCGAAGCAGGGTCTAGACGGAGCTTTCACGGGCGAGCAGAAGCAGGACGGGGCATCTGGAGAGGTCAGAGAGGACGGCAGGGCAGTGGGAGGTGGCCTCTGACCTGCATCGTGGAGGATGGGAAAGGTTCAGACACTCACAGCAGGAGGGAGAAGAGAGCTTTCCAGGTGGAGCGATCAGGAGGAACAAAAGCAGAAAAGAGCATATTTAGAGAGAAAATACTATTAGTTTGCCTGGCCAGCTCGAAGGCTGTCCATTTGTGCATTTACCAGGACATAGTTTCGCATCATCTCCTGAGTTCCCTTGCCCTGTTTTTTTTTTTTTTTTTTCCATTTCTTTACCCATCCATTGAATTTCAGCAGATCATAATCAGGAGGGGCAGTTATTAAAACAGACGCAAGTGGCTTAGTAATTATAGCTGCCGCTAGATGTGTTATCTGTCTGCTCTTATAATTATTAAGGTTTCTATTTTTATAAGCTGATTGCCTCTTGTTCTAAAACTTCCTTAATAGTATGCAAATAGGGGCCAGGGAGCAATATAAATCTAGAAACATGTTTTCCTTTGCACTTTACAATAAATCACCCACACAGACTGACCTGTGGCAGCTTTGTACATCTCGAGAGGCCCACAGCCCTTCTGCTCAAAATAAATCGGGGCTGCTTTATGTCCTGCAGCCTTACCGAGACTGGAAAAATCACATCTTGGGTTTTACATTAGCTTTCTGTTATGACACACACAATGTCATGACTTCTTTTTTCTTTCCCTGACAGTAATTCCATCATCTGCTTGTGATAAATTACTCTGCCTTTGGCACTTTAGCTTATCCGCTTAACAGCTGAATATGCCCCAAAAGGATGGCGCTGGGAGGCCGCTGAAGAGTAGAGATAAAGCTGTTGGCAAGTCTGTCCACCTTTTTTGTGCCTCAGTCAACACATCCATGCAGTGGGGTGTTATTCTATGCTGCAGAGAAATCACACACTTTGTATTTTCTAGACGCTTATTCTGTTGAAAGGTCTTTTAAGACATCAAGTTCTAAGCTAATAGGGATAATTTCTTAAAATAAGATTGTCTCACTGTGGAGAAGACTAATCTCCATTTTCTTAATACATTTTCATCTTGAAATCATCATCTAACAATGAGAGCTAATATAAATGGAAATCCACAGCATAAAAAGTCTGCATCGGGCTCAACAGCTTATAAGCCCAGTTGTGAGTAGCTAGAAGCCCCACAATCGTCAGAGACAAATGACATAGGTGCTTAATACATATTTCTTAAATGAATGAGTGAAATATTTTTTCTTTGGGGAGACAACTATATTTAGATTAAACAATGATTAAGTACAGCTCAAGCTTATAAAGTGAATATCTATTCCTGGGATTTTGAATTTCTTTAAATCGTATTACAAGCGGTACAGGATATTTTAAAATAGTACCTACTCAAGTACTTATTATGCTTACCTGCTTTAATAAAGCATTCTTGTTCTCATGTATATATGTGTGCGCATACAGATTTCTGAGACATTTAACTATGTCACAAAAAGTTTTCTTGTTTAGGTCGTAAATCCAAGGCTGAAATACTCCTAGACCCTGGTGACTGCTTACCTGAACTGAGGGTTGAGGAGAAAATAATTGGAACGTTAGTCTTCTAAATCAGAGCCAGTAACATCCTCCCCCACCCGTCCAGTGTCGAACCAGCCACGCGCAGTGTCCTCAGCATCAGACAGGTCTCACATGTAGAGGAAAATGCTCGGAAAAATGTCTCAGGCACTTTACAAGTGGGGCTGCTGCTGACTGTGTTAGCGGTTAGGTCGGGAAGCTTCCTTCTAACATTTTTCTCCCTTGTTTCTGAGGTGTCTTATACCTGTGGTTTGTAAAAACACCAAAGCCAGAAAGCGAACTTTAGATGGTTTTGTGTGTTTGCTCCTGCAGCTCTACGTGGCCACAGAAGCCATCCTCATCACACTGGTCGGGGCCACGCCGTCGTACCACTGGGACCTGGCAGAGCTCCACCCCAATCAGAGTCACGGCAACCAGTCGGCCGGTGGAGACCAGGCCCTCGGGGCCTGGCTCCTGACAGCCAACGGCAGCGAGATCCACAAGCACGTGCATTTCAGCGGCGGCTTCACCTCCATCGCCTCCGAGGTAACCCCGGGAATGGGGACCAGTGAAGCAGAAATAGGCCATTCTGATGACTAAGTGGGCACTTCTCCTTGTCCAGGTGGAACCACCTTTTTGTCTTGTTGATTTAAATTTCAGCCACACCTTCAAATAACTTTCATTTTGAGAATTAAAGGAGACTCTCCTATGAAAACACATTATTTTTTCTTCCTACTATAAATGGGAGAAGCATGAGTCTTACCAGATCAGTTAGATGAAGTAAGATACAAACTCCAAAAGAGCCGCACTTTGGTTACAGCGTCCTTTTTAAAAGTGAGTTAAAACTTCCATGTTTCTTTATTACAGATGCAAAAATTAACAGAGTTAGAAGAGAGAGAAATGTAATGAGCCACCTGTAACATCCACGGTTCCTGTCTAAGTCCATGTGTAGGCCACGTGGGGGGCCTCGGCTGGACAATATCAAGTATAAACGGTACCATCTCGTGTTACTTTCAAGGGGGCTTTGCTAGCCAAGAAGGTTCTGGTGAGGACAGTACCTTCTGAGTCAGCCAGAGGTAGATAAGTGGAAGGCACTCAGCATGGTGAAGAAAAAGCCTGGGAGGCGAGGGCCAAGCTCACGCTCAGCTGGAGAGCACACGTACTGGTTCTTAAGATGCCATGTCCTTTGCCTGCTCCCTGATCGCTATCCGTTGGCCCACTGCCCCTCTGGAAGTCCCCCCATTCAAATATATACATAGATATATATTTTTTTTTTCCCAAAAATTTTTTGAGTTTTTATCATGAAAGTGTATTGGATTTTGTCATGTACATCAATATGCATGTTTTCTGCATCAATTGCAATGATCGTTTGATTTTTTTTTTTTCTTTTTTACCTTCTAATAGGGTGGATTGTACAGGTCGATTTTCAAGTGTTGAACCGGGCTTGCGTCTCTGGGTGGCACATGATTCTTTTCAGATATCGCTGAATTCTACTTGCTAATATTTCATTAAGGGTTTCGGATTCTATATTCGTGATGGATTTTAGTCTGTAGTTTTCTTTTTTTTTTAATACTTCCTTTTTCTGGATCTGGCATCAGGGTAACACTAGCTTCAAAAAATAAGTGTTTCTATTGTCTGGAAGAGATTGTGTAGAATTGGTGTTACTTTAAAGGTTTTATAGAATTTCCATTGAAATCATCTCAGTCTGTAGAGTTCTTTTAGGGGAGTTTAAAAATGATTAATTCACTTTCCTTAATAGTTATAAGGCGATTTAAATGATCTGTTTGTATTGTGAGTTGTGGCAGCTGTACTTTTTCAAAGAATTGGCCTATTTCATCTAAGCTGTGAATTTATATGTGTAGAATTGTTCATAGTGCTACTTACTATCCTTGTGATGTCTTTGGAGTCCCAAGATTATATCTCCTCTTTTATTACCTGATATTGGTAATTCACGTCTTCTCTCTTATTTAATTATTTGTCTGTCATTATAGAGGTTTGCCAATTTTATTGATCTTTTGAAAGGACCAGCATTTGGTTGAATTGCTTGTTCTCTGTTGTTTTTCCATTTTCGATTTTATTGATTAATGCTCTTTATTATTTCCTTCCTTCTGCTTACTTTGCGTTTATTTTTCTTTTTCCTTCCTTAGGTTCTTGAGGTGGTAGCTTAAATTATTAAGAGTCTTTCTCTATGCAAATATAAGCATTTAGTACAATACATTCCCCTCTCAGGATGGTGTTAGCTGTGTCCCACAAATATTGATACGTTGTATTTTCATTTTTATTTAGCTCAGTGTATTTTTTTCCTCTTAAAAACTTCCTCTTTGACCCATGGATTATTTAGAAGTACGTTGTTTAGTTTCTTGGTATTTGTAGATTTTCCTGTTAACTTTGTCTTTTGGATTTCTAGTTTGATTTTATTGTGGTCAGTGGATGCACTCTGTATGATTTCCCTCCTTTTAAATGTGCCGCGTTTTCTTCTATGGACAGGATATGGTCTCTCTTGGTATATGACCCATTGGCCCTTGAACCAATGTGCGTTTTGCTGCTGTAGAGTGGAGTGTTATATACATATGATTTATATCCTATTGGTGAAGGTGTTTTTGAGTTCTTCTATATCTTTGCTGATTTCCTCTAGTTGTCCTGCAGATTTTTGAGAGAGGAGTGTCCATGTCTTTCTTTTTTTGAGGACTTTTAATGACCAAAACAAAAAAAAGATCTAAAACCGCAACTTCTGGGAGAACCATTTGTTCTTGCCAGTCTTGTACCTCTCTTCGAACTTGACCTTGGCCTCCTGTCAGGCCTTGCATTTCAGAGCAAGGTCTCTAAAGACGTCTTTGTGGCTGACAGTTTTGTCCAGGGGGATATCCACAGAGTACCTTGTGGACACGAGGTGATTCTAGTTACAAACTTTCACAAAAGACTTGATCTTTGACCTCTTGGCAATTTTCCTCTTGCCCAAGGTGGCTGTCACTTTGCTGGAACAACCGTCAGTTCCAGCCACCAGATCATGGCCCTCGGGGCAGTCGGAGGTGCTGTCATCTGTGTTCTTCACAGTGACCGCTTTGCGTCCGGCGCAGCCTCTGGCTCGGACCAGCACCCCCTTCCCGGGTGTCATAAACTTGCCCGTTTCGGCAGCAGCAGAAGCCAGTGTTTGTGTCTTTAATTATAATTGCAGATTTGTCGACGTCTCCTTTCGCTCTTCGCAGATTTTGCTTCTGTTGTTTGGTGTATACATATTGTGGTTGCTATGTCTTTTTGGTGGATCGACCTTTTCATCATTTTATAATGTCCCTGTCTGTCCCCGGTAATTTCCTTTGTTCAAAAATGTACTTAATCTGATTGCCACCCTTGTTTTCTGGCATTAATGTTAGCGTGATATAGATTTTTATCTCCTTTTACTTTCAACTTGCCTATGTCATTATATGCGAAGTCTGTCTCTTGTAGACAGTGTGTAATTGGGTCAGGTTTGAAATTTCCTCTGCCAGGCTCAGTCTTCGTGTATTGAGCTGATCTACACTTAATATAATTATTTGTGTGTTAGGGCATACCTCTTCCATTTTATTTATTTTATTTTCTATTTGTTCTCTCTTATTTCTCTCATTTTTCCCCTCTTCCTGTAGGTTACTAGGACATTTTTTAGAATTCCATTTTGACTTATCTGTAGTGTTTTTGAATGTATCTCTTTGTATAGCTTTTTTAGTAATTGTTCTTAGCATTACATTATATATACATAACTTATCACGGTCTACTGATATCGTCAAATCACTAGTTTGAGTGACATACAGAAACTACCTCACTTTAATTACTTTGCCTTCCCTGTTTATAGTATAATTATCTTAAACATTTTCCTACATACTTTTAGAACCACATTACATGGAATACATTAAAATACAATTAGAATACATTAAAAAAATAAAAGGTTATGCCCATTATCCAGAGGTAGAAAGACAAATACCATGTGATTTCACTTATATGTAGAATCTAAAAAATAAAAATAAAACAAATGAACAAACAAAACGAAAATAGCATCATAGATGCAGAGGACAAACCGATGGGCCAGAAGGGACAGAGTTAGGCCAGTGAGTGAAAAAGGTGAAGAGAGAATAAGAAGCAGAAACTTTCAGTTATTAAATGTCACAGGGATGTAATGTACAGCGTAGTCAATATCGTAATAACTTTGTCGGCGACGGATGATTACTAGACATCGTGGTGATCACATCGTCGGGTATATAAATGTCGAATCACTGTGCCGTACGCCTGAAACTAATAGAATATTGCATGTCAACTATACTTTAAAACAGACAAAAGAAGGCAAAAAAAAGTACAACTTGGAAAAAAGAATCGTCAAGGCCAAATAAACTTACAGGTTTCCTGAGATGACAAAAAATAACAAAGGAGAATTGAGTAAAATGAACCACTCCCATGCTCGTCCCGTTAGGAACTCAGCAGCCTGCTGCCCTGTTCATAGTATCACCCACACGCGTTCAGGGAGATCCAGGAAGAGGCTCGTCCGCTTTACGCTTTTGGAGCAGAATCTCATGTTTTCCCTGAAGTCGTTTTCTTCCAAGGCACAAATGAAGCGTCCACTGTGTGCCCCACCTCCACCGCTCAGAACGTGTGCATGACCCGCCTCTACTTCTCAGAGTGTGTGTGTGACACCAGTTCACGCACGCTCGTGCCTCGGACATTGGAGCCTTGTGTGGGGGGTGGGTGTGGACCAAGTCCTGGAGTGATTTGGAGCGGGTGGTATGGGTGGCTTCCAGGTCTCCTGCTGCCGCTACCAAAATGACAAGAGTCAGCGGAGAAGCAGCAGCAGAGGGAAGAAAGATGAGAACGGTGGAGGAGCCCCGGCCAGGCTCAGCAGTGCCAGGCAGGATGGCAGCGTTAGCCACTTTGCAGCCTGGGGCCGGGCTTTCAGAGCTGCCGGTTGAGTCCACCTTTGCAACAGCGGAGTGCAGTCCCAAACCAAACCCTCTACTCTGTTTCTTAACCTTCCTTCAGTTTTGATGACCTCTCTAGTTTTTCAGTTGCTCCTCCAAATCTCCGAAGTGATGATATTGAAACTGAACTTGTCAATAAGTTGGTAAATATCCTTGATATACAATCCGTGGTACACAGGGAATACGTGGTTCTTATTGGCATTGTGTGGTGTGAAACGAGAGTTAAAAGCACGAGTGTAAAGTCTTGCTGACCTCTTGTATACAACTCATGAAAATAAACATCAAGATAGAGTCCGCAGGACTTTACAGTTGAAGGAGAGTGTGTTAAAAATACACATTGTGTAGCTCTCACCTTGCACCTTATTACATTCAGGTCAGGCCTCGCAGACGTATTCATGGAGCGTTTGGGGGAGGGTGAATAACAGGTTATGTAGACATGATTAACTTGGTATTAATGTAAAAAAAAAAAAAAAAACCCTCTGACCTAGAGTCTTGACTATTTTAAAATGAGCTGATAGGCATTGGACTGAATTTATGTAGCAAATTGCTGTCTGCCGTATTCAAATTATTCCCTGAGCTCTGACTCTTTCAGAAAGCACCAACTAT